CAGTTGTATGAAGAAATTGGCGGCCCCGACCTGAGCCCTGAACCGTAAGTACTTCTGAAACTAATTTTTTTCTTGCAGCAGCCCCCCGCCCAGCCCTCCAGCGACGGATACCACGCAAGCGTATGTCTTTGGACAAAACAAAATAATGGCTCTGTGTTTAGAAGCCATACGCCGGACCGCACAATATTCAACACTGTGCCCATACTGTCAAGGTTGGTTAACCCTCACTCTCTCATTCTTTTCTCTCTCTCGCTGCCTCTCTCTCTCTCGCTCTCTCGCTCTCTCTCACGCTCCCTCTAGCTCTCTCACTCTCTCTCACTCTCTCTCGCTCTCTCTCTCTCGCCTCGTCTCGCTCTCTCTCTCTCTCTCTCTCTCTCTCTCTCTCTCTCGCTCTCTCTCTCGCTCTCTCTCGCTCTCTCTCGCTCTCTCTCTTTCGCGAAATGCACGTACTTACAGCGCCTCCTTCACACGGACGAGCCGAAGCGGCCGCTCTTCCACCTCGTCGACGGCCAGGTTTGATTCATGGCGTCCATCGATAGATACAACTCAATTTTAGCGCCTTGGGCTCCGCTGTCAGGGCGCCTTCGACGTCATTTTCCCCAGCACCCAAGGGGTTCGTAGCCGTGACTTTTCCGATTTTCCATGAGCATCCGCGGAAGTTCCACGGCACTGAGAAGTGCCGTGGAAGGCCGAAAGAGCGGATGGTAGGGGTGTTGGATCGGCGCTGAACAAAAATACCTCCCTGCGAGCGGTCGGTCGAAGTGCGTGTTCGCTTTTAATACCGTTTCAACCCAGCCCCCGTCTAGCCCAAATCACAGGCAAAAAATTACATATTTACCCCCGAATTCCGGAAAAATGAACATCCAATCAATCTTTCACATCCTTTTGCGCCCAAAACACATCGCAACTTGGGCTAAACCTGCGGAGGCGGGGGGCTGCTGCAAGAAAAAAAAAATTAGTTTCAGAAGTACTTACGGTTCAGGACTGGGCCGCCGATTTGATCATACCACTGGCCCAGCGCGGTGAGAATCTCTTGTACGGGTCTGAAAAATCCATAGTCAAGCCGTACACAACCTTCATCGTGGAAACAATTTTTCCGCGCTTTCGCAAGCAACTAGCGGATCGTTTCGATTCGATACTTCTGCGTGGAGTTAGAGGGGAAAATTTTGCAGGTTCTGGACTGTTAGCGGGGGGGAACCACATTTTGTTTCTCCGTCTATACCTATCAGTTGATGATGATATATGTATTTTTATAGTGCTTTTCGTAGTTTTTAATTGCTAAAAAGTTATAAAAAATATTTATTAGTTATATAAATTTTGACCTTTTTTGGCCAGTTTTCATATTTTTTATTTGGTATTTATATCTACAAAACCATTCAAAATGCTATAAAAATGGTTTATTGCGGCGGACAGTTGCGGCCCGTCACTTGCGCCCGACATTTGCGGCCCGACATTTGCGGCCCAAAGCTGTAGTTAATTATCCAAAACTGAGGCTTTTAATCGTCCGGAGGGCTAGTTTTCTGAACGGGGTTTGATCGCTTGTCCCCTAGACTTGACCTAAAAATAAGACTACGTGCCACCCGGTGCCTAGTCGCTTCGGATGGGTGCGAGCTCTTACAGGGTACGCGCGCCTCGGGCGCCCCGATTTCGAAAGAGTGGAGCGGCAGCCCATCCGAAGCGACGGCCCGCCTTGCCTGACAATGCTTTAGACTCTTACTAACCCTCTTTTTAATTTTATGTTGGGGAAAAACGAGCTTAATAGGACGGGCCGCAAATGTCGGTCGAAAATGTCGGGCCGCAACTGTCCGCCGCAAATGTCGGGGAGCCGAAGGGGGTACGCATGGGGGCCAATCACTTTGTTAGGAGGCAATCAGCATTGACCGGAAGTGGCCGTAGCCTACAAAAAGCGAGGGAGATGAATTTTCAAGTAGGTAAAAGTGTTTTAAAGGACGTGCGTCTTTACGTGCGCAATGGCCTGGAGATAACTGCACGCATAGGAGATTTAGCAAAATCACCCATTTTCGACATTAAATTTTGGTTTTTGTGAAAACTTCTTTGTTAGGTATAATCCAGTGATGATCCGAATCGACCACTCTGCATTTCCTGCCGAGCTATCACGAGCTGAGAGCCCATCCGAAGCGACTAGACCCCCTTGGCACAAAGCAGAATATCGCCACAGCTTAACGGCTGTTAGAGAGCGCAACCGATTTTTGAAAAACTGGTCGAGTCGGCGTATTGATAAACAAAATTGCACCGCGACACCAGGAAAACCTGAAACTTGGATTTTTCGATCCCGGTCAAGGATTATGGAGATATATTTGGGATGATTGATCGGTGGTTTCTACTACTGAAGCACTATCACCTGAAATCTAGAAATACATGGCCCCTTTCCCGTCCCTTTAAACCACCAAAAAGCTTCGATCACATAATCCTAATACCGAAATTTCATAAGGTCGAAATTTTTTGTATAGGATTCGGTGGGTTTCATTAGCCTATGTAAGTATCGACATTATGAATTACGACAGTATGAATTTCAACATTGTGATTTTCGCAATTTTGAAAAAAATCCCCAAAAAACGCACCGGAAATGTGACCATCGGGTTCTCCTCATTGCCATTCGAAAACGCGCTAAAAAACGGGCTGTGAACTTGTAAATTCCCACTGTGGACGATTTTTCTTGGGGGAAAATGCTCAATACATCAACAAATTTTTACGCTATCGAAAATTCTAAATTTGAGAATTCATAATGACTAAACGTGGAATGGCAGGGTCGGTGAAACATTTTTTCTGCCTTCGGAACTTTGTGGTTTCTCATCGTTTTTTTCGCAGGGCGTAACGTAAAAGTGCTATTTAATAAAGTTGCATATTAATTTCAGCATACCGAGACATTCGACCTAAGTATTGATCGGACGCTTTTTCGGGGCAATTATAAGCGCAAAGATACGCTTGAATTCGGCTTCTTTCATCCGGCCGCTGGGGCATTCCTGAAAAGGGAGAAAAATAGATTGATGCTTTGAACCAGAATTGTTTGCGTTGGCCTAGTGAGAGATAAAGAAATATAGAGGGAAATAGGGCGAGAGAGAGAGAGAGGGAGAGAGGGTGAGAGAGGGAGAGAGTGTGCAGAGAGAGAGCGGGTCCGAGTGCGAGAGAGTGGGAGAGGGAGAGAGTGCGCGAGAGAGAGAGGGAGAGCCAGAGAGAGAGAGCGAGAGAGAGTGAGCGCGAGAGAGAGTCCGAGATAGTGAGAGAGAGGGAGAGAGTGTACGCGAGCGATTGCGAGAGAGTGAGAGGGGGATTGCAAGCGAGTGCGAGCCAGGACGAGCGAGCGAGTGAGAGAAAGAGAGATGCTCGACCTATTGGAAAATTCAATACACACATTTTTAAAACGGCCGTACATATACTTGAGCCAGGTGCGGCTAAACCCTAAAAATTGATGAAAGAGTGTAAGAAGTCTGGTTTCAATTTGTGGCGCTGCCCATCCAAACCGCAACAGAAGCACTTACGGCGCGGGCGCGTTGCGGCGACATCTGACTGCCATAATGTTTCATTTTTTCATTCATTTCTTATGAATTTTCGACATTATGAAATTTCGACATTATGAATTTCGACATTATGATACCAATTCTACGCTACCTGTATTTTGGACGAGCACATCAAGGGGTGGTGGATGGGTGGCCACCTCCGATCTCATATCCGAAAAGTCCTCCGTCGCCAGTTCTGCAAATATCAAATCGGTTTTACATTATCTGTCCCTTTAGAATGCCGAAACTCTCTTTAAAAGCAGCTAAAATTTTTGCCTTACAATATTTTGCTTCAAAACTCGGCAGCACATAGTTCTTATGGGTCCTCATCGCTGGTATTCAGTCCCGATCGGGAAGAAGACTAAGGTTCGGGTAGTAGAGTCAAATGCTGAAGGGTTTTTGGGGGCACCTCGTAGATAACATCCCATCGCCGAGGTACAGAAAATGGAACTGGAACGAGCGGAGGGCCCAGTAGAGACGGACGAGAAGTCGATTGGCTGGAAATGACTTTTTTTATCTCTCATTCGCTTTCTCTAATTCTCTCTCTCTCTCGCTCTCTCTCGTTCCCTCTCTCACTCTATCTCTCTCTCGCTCTCTCTCGCTCTCCGTCTCCCTCTCAGTTCCGTAGCATTACGAAAAACCTTACAAAAAACAACTGACCTCTGAGATGCTGGGAAAAGGCACCCGGTTCACCGTAGAAACTATGTAGCGCACGCTCGACCTGCCGAAAGCCAAATTAAATCACACCACATTCGAAAAAAAATGGATAAACTCCAAAGGTAGCCCACCCTCGAATTTGTCAGGATTTCGCTCTCCCCCTCTCTCTCTCCTCTCTCTTTCTCTCTCTCTCTCTCTCTCTCTCTCTCTCTCTCTCTCTCTCTCTCTCTCTCCCCTCTCTCTTTCGCTCTCTCCCTCTCTCTCTCTCTCGCTCTCGATCTGTTTTCCAACACTGGTTTTGCTGTATTTTAGAGCTCAGTATCCCCAATCCAATCCAAGCCGAGATCGATGGAGACGCACGTCTTCACATGCAAAGACGACCTTCCTGCGCTTACGGGCCGCGAAGCAGCTTTTGGATGCTGATTTGACAACAGATTTGTCGTAAAATATGCCCGTATTTATGTTCGCAATCAATAACGATAAAAACTAACAATCGACCGAGAAATGATAGTAAAACACTCGCTGATATTGAGTCCAAAATCTCAAAAAACCCGACTAATTATCGTTAAACGGACTGGCATGGCATCTTTTTCATTTTTTTTGTGCCGCGCCGCGACACGGAACGCGCACGTCCGCCCTTCCCTGACGTACTGGATGAATATCTGTTGCAAGCGGTTAAGCGGCGTTCGCGTTACGTATCGCGTGTCCTGAAAAATCCATAGAAGAGAGGGAATGTCTAGCCAGCAAAATACATATAGATATCCCTTGCTGGCCCCTTTAAAGTCCATACAGTTACGGTAGTCAAAAACAAGAACAATCTCATCATAAGTCGTTCCGGACGGTCATTTGTTGGTTGTCCATTGCATCCGGTTGTGGATGCTTTTTCTTCGGAATGGGCGGAGCTTGACTGAAAACATTTTTTATCACTAGTAATTACTGAATATTGTCAAACTAGTTTCATGAGTTGATTCTACCTCGGCACGCTGACGGTCGAAAATAACGACAGGAAGCAGGGCAGAACGATGAGACCGTGGAGGAGACCGAAGAGGACCACGAGGAAAACGGTCTAGAATTGGGGGAGGGATAGCAGAGATTGTTCGAAGAAATGGACGGACCCCGAGAGGAGGGCAGGCTAGCAGAGATTGTTTGAGGAAATGGACGGACCCCGAGAGGAGGGCAGGCTAGCAGAGATTGGAGGAGGAAATGGACGGACCCCGAGAGGAGGGCAGGCTAGCAGAGATTGGAGGAGGAAATGGACGGACCCCGAGAGGAGGGCAGGCTAGCAGAGATTGTTTGAGGAAATGGACGGACCCCGAGAGGAGGGCAGGCTAGCAGAGATTGTTTGAGGAAATGGATGGACCCCGAGAGGAGGGCAGGCTAGCAGAGATTGGAGGAGGAAATGGACGGACCCCGAGAGGAGGGCAGGCTAGCAGAGATTGGAGGAGGAAATGGACGGACCCCGAGAGGAGGGCAGGCTAGCAGAGATTGGAGGAGGAAATGGACGGACCCCGAGAGGAGGGCAGGCTAGCAGAGATTGTTTGAGGGGATTGGCATACCTTTAAAAAGACGATTCCCAAATAGCTGGGCCGCAACAGAATGAATACCATGGCCAACAGCGTCGCCATTCCGCCCTGAATTTAGCGTAGGCTACGCGAGGCTCCAATTACCAGGGTACCGTAGATACCCTTGACAAATGTTGTACAAAATACCTGTATCGTCGGCCAGCCGATGTGCAGAAAAGTTGTCTCGAGGCGGTCGCGTGTTGTCTAGAAATATGGTTGATCTTGGGAGCTAGCAGAGATCGTTGAGGAGAGAGGGAGAGAGAGAGAGAGAGAGAGAGAGAGAGAGAGAGAGAGAGAGAGAAAAGGGAGGGGAGGGGGGAGAGAGAGGGAGGGGAAGAGGTAGAGAGAGAGAGAGAGAGAGAGAGAGAGAGAGAGAGAAACAGAGAGCAAAGATCTCTCACCTTTCCCTTGACATCGTAGAAATGATAGCTGATATGAGCCGAAATGTCCACGGAAAAGCCGATCGACCTGAAGGGGGTACGGTAGTCTCCATTGTTAGACAGCCCCTAATTTTTAACGTTTAAAAATCTCACATTAATAATGCGGCCATGCTGATCGGGTCGATATGGACACCCCACAGGGTCAGAAAGCCGAAAACGCCTGAAATTGCTCGCTTTTCTTTGGCTTTAAAGGGACTCGCAAGCCAAAATTAAGGATTTCTATGCCGTCGATTCGATAGAGCAAAAAATTCTGGACCAAACGTGAGTTTCAAAACTACAAAAAGTTTGTGGAAAAAGAAAACCGAAAGATTACCTTATCAAGAAAAATCGATTTTGGAAACTTTTCGTTCAATTTTCTACACCTTGCACAGGGAATAATTTTGAAACATCAAAAACATACCCAAATTCACCGAAACGAGGGCGAACATGCCGGCGGCGATGGACACGGTATCGGGGATGAAGATTAGAAAGGAGAGGCCCATACAAAAAACTTCGGACCAGAGAGTCTCCCAAATGACACCCGGGAGGCTGGCGGACTGGAAATGGAGGATTAAAAGGAGCATGGCAGGCCAGCAGAGATTTTTTGAGGACATGGATGGCTTAGCTTAGGCTTCGGAAGCTCCGCTTAGGCTTACTTCTGTTGTTGAGTGGGTTTTATAGCAAACTTTCAGCTCTTTCAAACGCGCTATCTGACGCTCCTGTAGATGATTCCTACGCGGAGATAAGTCGGCTTCAAATTTAGCCTAGGCTTAGCTTAGGCTTCGAAAGCTTCGCCTAGGCTTACTTCGGTTTTTGGGTGGGTTTTGTAGCCAATTTTCTGCTCTTTCAAACGCGCTATCTGACGTTCCTGTAGAACATTGCTGCGCAGAGATAACTCGGCTTCAAATTTTGCTTAGGCTTCGGAAGCTTGACTTACTTCGCTTTTTGAGTGACCTTTGTAGCCAATTTCGATATCTTAAAAACGCTCCGAAGTAACGACCTGATCGGCAAACATATGTCTTTCGGTGTAGGAGACGGCCGCGAATTCCGGGTATTTTCTGGAAATTGCCCGCCATTTTTCGATGAGCGGATGCATCTCGTTGTAGCTAAAAAGTGGATAAAAATCGGATAGTCGGCAATGACCTACTGGGATACGGTAGTGAAGCCGGTGGTGAAGAGAAACGAGGCGATACAGTCGGGATGGTCCACCCGGCAGGCTGACTCGTTCATCTGAAGATGCCGCTGTCGCTCTCGCTAGTATCTCTCTCGCTTTCTCTCTCCCCTCCCTCTCTCTCTCTCTCTCTCTCTCTCTCTCTCTCTCTCTCTCTCTCCCTCTCTCTCTCTCTCTCTCTCTCTCTCTGGCTCTCTCTGTCTCTCTCTCTGTCTCTCTCTCTACCTCTCCCCTCCCTCTTTCTCTCTCTCCCTCCCTCTCTCTCTCTCGCTCTCTCCTCGCTCTCTCTCTCTCGCTCTCGCTCTCTCCCTCTCTCTCTCTCTCTATCTCTGTCTCTCACTTTCTAAACCACCAACCTTTATTGTCCCTCGATAGTGTTGTTTAGCAGGGGAGGCCAAAAAATCCGGCAGGTACATATAGGTGAATTTTTCCTTCTAAAAATCGGCTTTCACAGAAGAAAATCGTAATTTATCAGGGAGAAAGAGATCCAAGCCTAACTGAGCTTGAGCCTAAGCCGAATAAGCCCAAGCCCAGGCCGAAGCCGAAGCCTAAACCCAAACCCAAGCCCAAGCCGAACCTAAGCCCAAGCCTACGCCACAGACATAGCTCAAGCCTAAGCCAGAGCCTAAGCCGAAGCCCAAGCCGAAGCCGAAGCCTAAGCAGAATGCTAAGCCCGAGCCGAAGCCTGAACTAAGCCCAAGGCTAAGCCTAAGCAAAATCCTAAGCCCAGGCCGAAGCACATGCGAAACCCAAACCCTAGCCTAAGCCTGAACCAAGCCGAAGCCTAACCCAAGCCTAAAACCTAAACACAAACCTAACCCTAAGCCCAACTAAAGCCTAATTTAAACCTACGCCAAATACAAAATACCAGCTTAGGCCGAAGCCAAAGTCAGGTTTAAGCCTAAGCCCAAGCCTAACCGACCCCCTCCTCGTCGGTGACCTCGTAGAATTGCAGGAATTCCTCGTACCGCTCCAGCCAACAAAACGTCGACTCGGCCCCATATGAGTATTGCTCCGTCTCGAAGGCCCTGAATTGGATGATGAAGGCAAATAGGACGTGACTTGCCGGTCCCTTTAAAACGACCCACCTGATCATCGAACTAAGTCTCTCCATATTCGTGCTATTTCGCAGATCGCCCGCCGTCTGCACGACGATGGCCAGCGTTTGCATCGACTAAAATTGAACAGTAATTACAGCTGCTGTGGCAATGTTGGCATTAAATTTAAACAATCAATAATATTAATTAACAATAATATCCGAACACTCGAAATCTTTTTTGTTATTTTTAGAAGAATTTTTGCCTCAAGTCAAAACAGTCAACAAAAGAAGAATCCCCGAAACACGCGTGTTATGACTTCAGAATCCCTTTAAAAGAAGTACATATTCCTGGTTGGCTCACCTTAATAACCTCCTCGTGTTCCACCTTGAATTGGGCGGTTAGGCTGGATTTATCGGCAAAGTGCTGGATGCCCAGCTCGGTACGCGCTTGAAGGGCACCGTATAGCGAAATGGACCAGTAGATGCAGAGGAACTGAAGGAACGATTTCGATTTCCTCAAACCTCTGCTAGACTGCCCTCCTCTCGGGGTCCGTCCATTTCCTCAAACAATCTCTGCTAGCCTGCCCTCCTCTCGGGGTCCGTCCATTTCCTCAAACAATCTCTGCTAGCCTGCCCTCCTCTCGGGGTCCGTCCATTTCCTCAAACAATCTCTGCTAGCCTGCCCTCCTCTCGGGGTCCGTCCATTTCCTCAAACAATCTCTGCTAACCTGCCCTCCTCTCGGGGTCCGTCCATTTCCTCAAACAATCTCTGCTAGCCTGCCCTCCTCTCGGGGTCCGTCCATTTCCTCAAACAATCTCTGCTAGCCTGCCCTCCTCTCGGGGTCCGTCCATTTCCTCAAACAATCTCTGCTAGCCTGCCCTCCTCTCGGGGTCCGTCCATTTCCTCCTCCAATCTCTGCTAGCCTGCCCTCCTCTCGGGGTCCGTCCATTTCCTCATCCAATCTCTGCTAGCCTGCCCTCCTCTCGGGGTCCGTCCATTTCCTCAAAAAATCTCTGCTAGCCTGCCTTGACCGTATAGTTTTCCAAAAACACACCAGAACTACCGTAGCCCTCATCCATGTTGAGCAAACCCAATGGGAAAGCTGCCGAAAAATGTCGTCGTGCAGAATACCGCCTTTTTTGACGAATTCGAGACGATCCGGGAGGCAGGAATGTCTGAATTTTTCTTCGTCTATCTTCAGAAAAACTACCGTTTTTTGTTGGCTACAGTATCGTCTCGTATTTCCCTATTGGCGGTCAGGGCCAAAATGGCCGGAAAGAGGAGCAGCTGAAAGGCAAAGCACACGGCCGAGGCCACGGTAGAGTAGATGGCGAACGTCTAAACTCGAACAATTCGAAGATTTTTTAATTAATGAGCGGAAAATTAATTTTATATAATTTTCCATTAAGATTTATAAAATATGTTCTGTTAATTGAAAAATATGAAATTCAACGAATTTCTTTTTCCCAAAGTTGATTTTATGATGATCTTTTTATTCGGAGTTGAAATTTTTAGATCCAATTCCAATAAAATAATTTGAATTTAAATAATTATCATGAAAAACAAGGACTAAGAAGCGATTTACGATTTAACTTCAAGGCTTGAAAATTGGAAAAATCTTGTTAATTTTCGGTTTTAAAATTCTGTGAAAAACCATTTTTTCGTGCCCGGCAAAATTGGCAATTCTTTGAAATTTGTTTCCGGTTATGAGACCCACAAAACAGCTTAAAACTGTCTGTAAAGTTTCGGTTTTTGGAGAGAGTAAATTGCTGGCAGAATTACAGCGATAATCCCGACAGCTAAAATGTGACATTTCCGGCCGTTTTACCTAAATGGTCTTCAAATCCGGGATTTCTGTCTGTCGGGATTTTCGCGTTTTACCCTTCTGGCACTGTCCCTTCAAAATGGCCGACCTGAAGGACGGGTGTGGACGAAAACACGCCATTGCCGAATGAGATTAGATTGGTTACGGTGGTCACCGTCATCGAGCAGCCCGCTTCCTGGAAAATACATGGCCAATTAGATGTCGTAATGCCAGGCTGGGTGCCGAATAACATGTCGTAGTGCCCGGGCCGGCGACACGCAACGCAGACGCGCCGCCCTTCCATTTTGCCATTGATTGCCCCCCCCCCTTTCACAAGGTGCCTAACTGTATTTAGCGATAAGTCCTGAAAAGGTACCCGAACAGTTGCGGCGACCCGTTCCTCCACCCGACATCTTCGATCCGTACGATGCCATGCCGCCAACATGATGAAAACGTCGTCCACCCCTTGACACTTTAAATAGTGGGGAAAGGCAGATATCGAGTGAGAGCTAGAGAGAGCTAGAGAGAGCAAGAGAGAGAGAGGGAGAGAGAGAGAGAGAGAGAACCCCGCTTACCTATCGCCAACAACAAAAACAGCGTGCTGACGACAATACTTTGGAACGCTAATCCGGTGGCCGAGACGATGCCGATGGTGGCCACTAAAAGCTTTAGCTCTAGCTCATGTTCATGTCCCTCTAAAGGGAACATGAACATGGATTGGAATACGCCCGCGAAACGCAACGCGCAGCTTACCTGATGCCAAGATGGGGATCGCCCCGCCGAGCACCGCCTCGACTGGCTTCGATTCTTCCCGGTGATAGCTGGAAAATGAAAACGAGTGGGGGAGATTCCTAATGAATCTCTGCTAGCCTGCCCTCCTCTCGGGGTCCGTCCATTTCCTCAAACAATCTCTGCTAGCCTGCCCTCCTCTCGGGGTCCGTCCATTTCCTCAAACAATCTCTGCTAGCCTGCCCTCCTCTCGGGGTCCGTCCATTTCCTCAAACAATCTCTGCTAGCCTGCCCTCCTCTCGGGGTCCGTCCATTTCCTCAAACAATCTCTGCTAGCCTGCCCTCCTCTCGGGGTCCGTCCATTTCCTCAAACAATCTCTGCTAGCCTGCCCTCCTCTCGGGGTCCGTCCATTTCCTCCTCCAATCTCTGCTAGCCTGCCCAATCGCCTAATTACCGTAACGAAGAGACGCAGAGGAAAACCATCAGCGCGGCGAGTGCAATAGAGAGAAGTGGTGCCGTGTCGGTGCCGAGTTTCTGGGATTGAAATTTACATTGAAATGTTATTAAAAGGGTTACAGAGTAGACAGAAAAGATGCATTTTGGGAAATAGATTTTTAACGACTATTTTACTTGAAACCACAATTTAAAAATTTTTCATTTGAAATTACTAAAACTGAGCAAGATACTGAAAAACCAAAAATTGGTACCTTAACCTCCTTGGCGACGAGGAAATCGGTGACAACGAGGACGCGAAGAAAGTTGTAGCGTTTCGACGCGTAGCACAACTTTACCAGCTTAAAAAGGCGTTAAATAAAATATTTTTGTTAAAACGTTTTATTAAATAGGTTTCCTAAATCGATACAACTTTTCATAAAAAAGAAGTTTAGTTATTAAATTTATTGAAAGAATTACTTATAGACAAATGAAGTTAGTTAAAAATATTGCAGGTTTGTTACCTCATTTTCCCATTTGAGCATTAATGACGGGTCAGCGTGGACGAGGAAATAGTGCAGCAATACCGTCCGGAAATCCTAAAAGCCATTTTGGATTTTTGTTCTCTGTTGCCTCACTTGTTCTTTTTAACGGGACCGGTAAGACATGGCCATGGATTATATTCCTTATGGATTTTGCCGCGCATGCGACACGCAACGCGCGCCACACCTTAAATGCGTCGCGCGTTGCGTATCGCGGACTACGCCAAATCCATAGCCAGACAGCACAGTCTTTGCTTCCGCGTGCCTTTAGGGGCTCGCGACACGCAACGCGCACGCCACTTGTCTACCGTAAACTGTTCGTAATCCATTACGCAATGGAGGTGCGGGCCGTGCGTGCCTCAGTCGCGTTGCGTGTCGCCGCATGTGATGGGTGGTCGAGGACACTTTGCGTGTCGCGCGCGTGTTGCGACACGCGGGCGCCTTACGTGTCTCAGGCGTGTTGCATGTCAAGTGCGTGTTGCGTGCCGCGGGCATGTTGCATGTCGCGGACGCGTTGCGTGCCTCAGGCGCGTTGCGTGCCCATGCGCGTTGCATGTCGCGGGCGTGTTGCGGCTCGCGGGCGTGTTGCGTGTGACCGCGCTGCGTGTCGCGAGCGCATTGCGTGCCTCAGGCGCGTTGCATGCCGCGGGCGCGTTGTATGTCGCGAAGTCGCTTCGCGTCACGGTCCCGCGGAATCCATAGCCATGCCTTGACGGTCCCTTTAGCGCTCGACTCCACCACCCACCAACAGCCGTTTCGTCTCGAGGTCGACGCGGATGCGGTAGAAGTTGTTGGCGATGAACACCTTTTCCCCAAGGATTTCCGTTGTCGGATATGTGATCTAAAAATTGTGGCTTTTTTGATAGTTGAAACATGGATTTTTTTCGGCCAAGTAACCAAAATCTCACTTCAACGCTGCTCAAATTGGCATCAATGACCCGGGTGACCGCATCAAACGCATCGTTTTTCTGACAGTACGGCTCGCACAGATCGACGAATCCGATGCGCCGTTTTGAGCCGTCGTCCCTGAAATCATCCAATGTCGAATGAAATTTCAAAATCAAATGGAAACTTGCCAATTTTAGATGAGCCCTGAGCTACGTGTGCTTTCCTTATCCCATTAAATTGGTCGGCAAGGCATGCTTATGGCTTCCCTTAAGGATCTATTCTTTTTGCGTAACGGATTACGCCCGCTTGACGTCGACCAAGTGGCCGACGCGTCGCGGTTCGCGGGTCCCGGGAATTAATAGTCAACAAAGTCACAACCTTGCCTTCCTAGTTCCTTTAAACACTGACCACACGGTCAGCTTCCTGATGTCGCGTGCCAACTTTTGGAGTTGTCGAAATTGGTCGGGGCGTAGCAGACTGCCGTTGTCGCGGGCCGATACGAGCACCTGGAATGCATTTTGGTGCGAGCATCTGGTTGTCAATTTCGAAGTTCACAAAATGTGTTTCTGTTTCGACGACATACCCATACAAATGACGCCCGGAAAACATGCGTGGCTTTTGGCGTACCTCGACAATACTGAGGGTGCCGTTTTGGCGTAGGAATTGTTCAACCACCCGTCCCTCATATCTCGACGGGGCTCGCGAATCGGTGAATGTCAGTCGGGCATTGTTGATCTGAATTCAATCTATAAGAATTGGGTACTTTCGCATTATCGGGGGGGCAAACGAAATTCTTGTATAACCAGCGTTGAACCCCCTCCCCGCAAAATCATTTTCGGTCGAAAAATCGATATTTTTTGTTTTGTAAAGTTTTTACGTTTAAGAATGGTAAAAAACAGCTTAGAATCACTTCCGCTTTTATCTGATATTTAAAAAATTGGTTCCTAAGTACAAAAATTTCTCTCCCCCTCCCCTAGATTTCCTGGCACCCTAAAGGGATGGGCAAGGCAGGGCTACGGTATGGATTCCTTGAGGGTTTCGCCGCGTAGCTTTGCCAAGGTTAACGGAATCGATTACGCGACGAAAAAAAAACATGAAAAAAACCTGATGAAAGCGCAGGAGACCGGCCGATGAGATGAGGGTGAAGGTGACGAGAGCAATAATGTATAGCCATGGATGGGAGCCGATCGATCTGCCCAGTGACTCGTAGAATTTCTGGAAACGTAGTGTTTCATGACGTAACCGGTTCAGAAGCTAATTTTGATACCGTTCCATCACCTTTAAAGGGGAGTGGCAAGACAGGGCTGTGGCTTTCCTATGAATTTTGACACGTGCGATGTGCCATTTTGCCATAACTTTTTATATATTCCTCCAGCTTTTCTGCTGCAAGCGGCTGGAGTTGGGGGGGCTACCCCCTTGGGCTCTCTTACTCCGCCGAAACGCGCGCGACCTGGCTCACTATGCCCGAAATCGTGCAAACAGCCGATTTTACTACAAAATTTGAAATATCGATTTTTAAATATGAAAATGTGGCGTTTTGATTCTGTTCTTGATCAGTTTGGGGGTGCACGCTCTATCCGAATCCGAAGAGACCCAAGCCGTAGCTCCTTCCCGCCCACCCCCCTCGAGTTAAATTCGGCTTCAGACGGGCCAAATAACTATTACCTGCATGTAAGGCTCATATCTGGCGGTCGGCAGACGCATTTTGCTCTCACATTTACCTGCAAAAAATATGATTTAAGAAAACGGCATTTCCGTGGCGATTAGAGTGAGGGAGTGGCAGGGCTCCTCAGGCTTTCTTGGGCCGAATTGCATTTCCGCGCCTGCCGACGCCTGGCGGAAGGCTAAGGATTTAGGCAGGCTTTTTATGCAATGCGTAAAAACATGTTAATCTGGTTACTGCATCTAAAAACCCTGCTAGCTTTGACGGAATAACAAATTACAAGGATGCCGAAGGTGGGAAAACTATAGGCAAGATGTCAGGAGAGGCAATTGCATCCCCCGCCCGTTCGAACCGACTCTTGACTTTTGTGTAGCCGCGTGCTATTAACGTATCGTGCCGTAAGGTTTGTCAAAAACAGTACCCAAACTTTGTAGCATATTCTTGGACCCAATACAGCTCTTCGACCCCCGGAAGTTTAAAAAAAGTCCTTATTTGTTCGGCAAAGCTTCGAATATTATACGACTTTACATAAAATTTTCGGATAAAGCCTGAATAATTAGAGGTCAGGCGTATTTTGCATAGCCCAGGCTCAGCCTAGGCGATGCAAATTAAAAAAGCCTAAGGAAGCCTAGGCAAGCCTAGGCTTTAGCCCAGGCCTCCCTCACTCTAGTGGCGATACGCCCGCCAAAAAGGAGCGGCGCGAAACGGTTACGCCATGTAAATTGACAAGGGTGTCATTGCACAAAGGGGTAAACAACTTTTTTCTAACGCTAAAATTACTGTAAAAAAACTAGTGGAATTGCTTTGTAAGCGGTTTTTTTACTTTTCCACAGTTCATTTAAGAAATTTGCGACGTTTTTAAATCTAGTAAATGTTACTAAAATATTGATTAAAATACAGCAGAGATTCTTAAGGACGCGCAGGCTGGCAGAGGCTTTTTTATTTAGGATGCTTGCTCCCTAATTTGCACACTTTCCCACCGCCATTCGATTCCATTCCACTACCCGTACACCCCTCGGAAGCGGAGCGTCTCGGAAAATCGCCACCCTTGAGGGCGCGACAGCGAAAACGAGTCTTCGAGGCGCGAGAAAGTGAACATTTTTGCGCTTTTTCGGGGTGATTTTTGAACCTTGGGAACAGTTCGGTTCGGGGGAGTCTACTGTAATCGGGGATCGCCATCTATTGGCAGGGCAGGCCAGCAGAGATTGTTTGAGGAAATGGACGGACCCCGAGAGGAGGGCAGGCTAGCAGAGATTGTTTGAGGAAATGGACGGACCCCGAGAGGAGGGCAGGCTAGCAGAGATTGGAGGAGGAAATGGACGGACCCCGAGAGGAGGGCAGGCTAGCAGAGATTGGAGGAGGAAATGGACGGACCCCGAGAGGAGGGCAGGCTAGCAGAGATTGGAGGAGGAAATGGACGGACCCCGAGAGGGAGGGCAGGCTAGCAGAGATTGGAGGAGGAAATGGACGGACCCCGAGAGGAGGGCAGGCTAGCAGAGATTGGAGGAGGAAATGGACGGACCCCGAGAGGAGGGCAGGCTAGCAGAGATTGTTTGAGGAAATGGACGGACCCCGAGAGGAGGGCAGGCTAGCAGAGATTGTTTGAGGAAATGGACGGACCCCGAGAGGAGGGCAGGCTAGCAGAGATTGTTTGAGGAAATGGACGGACCCCGAGAGGAGGGCAGGCTAGCAGAGATTGGAGGAGGAAATGGACGGACCCCGAGAGGAGGGCAGGCTAGCAGAGATTGTTTGAGGAAATGGACGGACCCCGAGAGGAGGGCAGGCTAGCAGAGATTGTTTGAGGAAATGGACGGACCCCGAGAGGAGGGCAGGCTAGCAGAGATTGGAGGAGGAAATGGACGGACCCCGAGAGGAGGGCAGGCTAGCAGAGATTGGAGGAGGAAATGGACGGACCCCGAGAGGAGGGCAGGCTAGCAGAGATTGGAGGAGGAAATGGACGGACCCCGAGAGGAAGGCAGGCTAGCAGAGATTGGAGGAGGAAATGGACGGACCCCGAGAGGAGGGCAGGCTAGCAGAGATTGGAGGAGGAAATGGACGGACCAGGCCAGGAGGGCAGGCTAGCAGCGGTTCTGGGCGCAATATGAACAAGGAAGATCCGGCCGAAAATCTTTAGCCGGCTGGTGGGATGGGTGGATGGTTGGCAGGTAAGTGGATAGGTGAGTGGGGGGGGGCTATGGGAGACAGAATACCCTGAGGGCACAAGAGAGAGAGAGAGAGAGAGAGAGAGAGAGAGAGAGAGAGAGAGAGAGAGAGAGAGAGAGAGAGAGAGAGAGAGGGGTGAAGAAATGGAAATCAAATTGCCGCCTGTACAGACAGACGGATGTCCAGTTTTCTTTCTTGGAGAATTGGGGGAAGGGGTGGGATCCGACTGTCCAGAGTAGCCAGCCGGAATCAACTGTACTTTACTCGAGCGATAGGGAGAGAGAGAGAGAGAGAGAGAGAGGGAGGGAGGGATAGAGAGAGAGCGAGAGCGAGAGAGCGAGAATCTGAGAAACTTGCAGTATGCAAAATAAATAATCTAAACCTTAGAAGCCTAGCAGAGAATCTTTAGGAAATCCTAGGAAAACAACTAAATAAAAACAGCGCAAGAGAAACACTTTCAAGGTTTTTTTAGATGTCAATGTTTCAAGTTCTAATGTTTTCCGATTTATACAGTTTTCTTAAGCTATTTCCGTCGAGAATTCGGTATGGCGGGCGGGTGGATTGAGCGGAGTGGAGGGAGCGGAGGCGCGGCTTCTAAATGGGAAAAAATCTACAGCTTAAAATAAAAAAATTCTTGTTTAACGCGAGATTTCATACTTCCCTCAAGAATCGCTGCTATCATGTCCGTTTCTATCTCTCCCTCTCTCTCTCTCTCTCTCTCTCTCTCTCTCTCTATCTCTCTCTCTCTCCTTCTCTCTCTCTATCTCTCTCACTCTCTCTCTATCTCTCTCACGCTCGGTCTCACACTCTCGGTCTCTATCTCTCTATCTCTCTCCCTATCGCTCTCTCTCTGTCTCTCCCTCTGTCTCTCTCTCTCACCTCCCTCACTTATCGATCCGTCTGGCTGGTTGGGGGTGGAGGGCGGAAAACTAAAAATTGCATTTTGTCGACTCTTACAGAATTTAATCCAATTAAGTAAGAACGAAAACTCTTACAAAAAATGTTAATCTGTAGTTTTGATAGCTTAACGGTAGTCTCAACTAAAGCAGGTTTCTATGCTTTTCCTATAGCTTTTTGATGTTGGAAACTTCCCCCTATTAACACGAAAAACTGACCTATCCAGTACGACGTCATTGTTGTAGTCTGTAGTCGTGTTCAGCTCGGCGTTCATTTCCATGATTCGCGGTTTTTTGGGTTTTCTTTTCAGGGCGGGCAGTCCGACGCCCCTGTCCACCACCCCGGCGCTGATCAGCCGCATTTTCGGGGGCTTTTGCGATGGTTTGGGCTCCGAATTTTCGGAAGATTTTGTAGTCTGTAGCCCGAGCTGCAGTTCAGTTTGTAGTCTCGGGCCTGAGGTTTGTAGTCGCGAAATTCCTCGGTCTGGCTCCAATTTTGTATATTCATTCTTCGAGATTTTTCGACGTTGTGGCCCTGGCACGACTGTAGTTTGTAGCCTGGAGTCTCCTGTAGTTCGTGGCCTGGGCTCAGCTGTAGTCTGTAGTCTGGGGTTTGTACTTTGTAATCTCGAGTTTTCACCAATTCCAGCTGGCGTATCTCCATTTTGCGAGAATTTTGTAGTCTGTAGTCGGGAGGCTGTACTTTGTAGCCTCGGATTTTCGGAAATTTCGGCAGTCGTATCCTCATTTTGCGCAGATTTTGTAGCTGGTAGTCTAGGCTCTAGAGTTTGTAGTCTAGAATTGACACCATTTTCCGTTAGGCTGCGACTCTCCGTTCCGGGTACAGTAGTGGAATTTTCGACATTTTCGTTTTTCGAGATTTTTGGAGGTTGTGGTTCGATTTTCCGACTATTTTCGGGGAGGTCGACCGGGGTATCCGGATTTTTGGCAGGCCACAGCTTTCTCTGCGTCTCTCCAAATCGCGTGCTCTCTCGCGGGGGCGGGGCCAGGGTGGGGGATGGCGTTAATTTTTGCGGTTTTATTCGCCCGCCCAGCTCCACCCACTTTTGCCGAGGGCCGCCGAGGCGGCGGGCGGGAAACTGAAAAATCTGTTTTTCTGACCAAGGGGTTTTTTACAAAAATCGCAATTTAAGAATTTTTACGCCTTTCCTGGCAACCCAACTACAGCTTTTTGAAAGCCATTTGCCAGAACACAGCTTGGGCAGCGCTTAAACCGGTTAAATTGCGTTTGGACAAAAAAGCATGCCCTTTTTGCATGAAAAATGCCTGAAATCGAGCAACAAAATTCCGACATTTCAGAAATCGGCGAGATGTGCTGGACTCGCCTTTCCGAGAGCTTTCGATAGATAACTAAATCGTAAAAATCGGACACGTCCGCGGCCGGCTAGGGGGATTTTTTGGGACACCAGGTATTTTAATTGGCTTTTAGGATCAGAAGCTTTTTCAACAATTTTTTGCAGCACAGAAACGTGCTGTTCTGATTTTTTTAAGCAGAACTCACTTGGTCTCCGAAATTCGGGAGGGCTGGCGGGTGGACGTTTTCGGCTTCTTCTGGGTAGCCTGATATCGAGAAGTTAAATAATTCCGGATAGTGTTAATTCAATTAAAAAATTAGAGAAAATCTGGTCTACCATACATAATAGATCTTATTTCAAAATTTATGCGAAAAATTAAGCTGAAAAATTGTTAATTTAATAAATAAAAATGAAATGATTAAAATCATACCATTTCCCGCTACAGTATCCCCGAAAATACCGGACGCGGGAGGGGGCGGAGCGGGTGGAGGGAGCGGATAAATTTGACGGGTTCCCGGGTATCCCTGAAAATCGTAATGTAGCAGACAAGTTGTAAGTAAATCATTAAACAAAATTTTGTAAAATAATCAGATTCTGAAATATTAAATGATAAAGTACATAAAGTCCTAAAATGAACCGTATTTTAAATAAAATAAAAACTAACTTTAACCTAAATAAAATAAAATTCCAACTCAAATATTGAAAACCAGCGGAAAAAGACCGCTTCGCGGCCATTTTCCACTGGACCCCGTCCAGGAACCACGAATTTGAATACCTTCATTTTTTAGCCTGCGGCGCTAGAACCTGACTCAAGGATCCATTCTTTGGCCTGCGGCGCCAGAGCCAGCGTTCCGCTAGAATCTTTGAGCCCGCGGCGCTAGTTACTGGTTTTCCTCCAGGATCTGGCCTGCGGCGCGAGTGCCCGGGCCAAGAACCCTTGTTTGGCCTGCGGCGCGAGAGCCTGGGCCAAGAACGGTTTCTTTGGCCTGCGGCGCTAGACCGACGGCCGGGCCTAAACCTCGCACACCGAGAGCCTAAAAATATGTTTTGTTGCCGAACTACCAAAAAGCAAAAAACGAAATTATCAAATGATCCGAACTCACGACCCTGCGCGTGGTAGGCCTAGCGCTAATCCACTACACCAAGGTGTACATGGGAGGAGGCGGCGGGAAAGGCCTCTTCTCTCCTGGGGAGCCCGGGCAAAGATAAGGGTGACCAATGATCCCGGAGGGAGCCCTTCTGGTCACTTTACAAAATTCTATTTTTGAGTTTGAATCTGTGGAAAATTTGCAAAGATAATAAGACGTGCATGATCCCCGCCCTTGATTGCATAAACGGTCCAAATGTCAGCCCGGAATTCCATCAGGGCGTCGAGTTATGGCCTGGACACCACGGCCCGTTCCGCGATTTATTAAGGACCTTTCAGAAAAATCCACATAAAAACATTATTTTAAAGAATTTTGCAAAATCCGAAAAAATGTATCTGGGGAATTACTTTTCCCATCTACCCTCCAAAAATGAGACCCCAGTTCCCTCTAGGGGCCGAGAAAAGTTCCGGACAACTTGCGCACCCAAAAAATGTTAAGGATTTTTCACATTTTTGCTTGTAAAATCGTTAAACCAAAGAATTTCGAAAAATCCAAAAAACCGTTTTTTATGAATGGCATTTCCCACCTCCATGCCAAAAATCAGCTCGAAACGCGGCCTGACGGCCGAGAAAACGGCCGTACAGAAAACAAACATACTTTTCTCGCTTATAGGATAGGATTTAGATATTAACTTTAAAATTGTCGGTTCTGGACTGTTAGCGGGGGGGGGGACAAAAAAAGAGTTTTTGTATTCCGCCTAAACTGGTCCTTGCATAATAATTGTGTATTTTTAAAATGTGTTTCGCAATTGTTGATAGCTAAAAAGGCACAAAAAATGAAATCTTTTAAAAAGAAATTTTTGATTTTTTGGTCATTTTTCATCATTTTTGGAGTTTCGAATCAACCAGACATTTTTAGGAGTTTTTACGAGGTTTTATCTCTAAAAACTGCGTAAAAGACGAAGAAAATGGTTTAATTTTGTTAGACTTTATCTTCCTTTCTTTGAGCAAGTTTTGAAATGGGCAAGATTAGCGTAACGAATGGGAATCGAACCTGCGAATCATCCGAAACATCAAGTTTTGACGTGAGAAAACCGAGAAGGAAGTCTAGCCAACAAAATCCATAGTCTTGCCTTGCCGGTTTTTTTAAAGGCACATACCTTAAAATAGAATTCGATGGGCGGAAAGCGGGTGCCGGGCGGGACGAACTGCGGCCAGTCGCGGAATTGGATCGCGTAATTGCTGTAAAAAAATTGGAATGACAAAAAGTTTTGGTACACATAGGATAACGGGGGGAAAAATAACGGGGGGGCACTCAAACTTTTTATATGATTAAAGTTGTTTTAAATAAGCTTTTTTCGGGCTGTAAAAAAAACTCTTAGTATATTTTTCGGTCCTCTATCGAATGGCATTTTCAAAATTTCGAAAATATTCAAAACGCCGAAAAATTTTTTCCCCCCCTGTTATCCTATGTGCTGCCCATAGTTTTCAAAAATAGTTTTTAGGCTATAAAACTTTTATAATACATTTTTTCGCGTTGTAAAAAAATCTCTTAGTATATTTTTTGATGTTCTATCGATTCGCGTTTTCAAAATACCGAAAATCTCAAAAATTTGGCTTTTCCCCCCGTTATCCTATGTGCTGCCCATGGATTTCGATCAATTTTTGTTTATTCGATAAAAAATTTCATTTACATTATTTCGGGCTGAAATTAATTTTCCTAGGGCAGTTTTCGACGCTTTATCGAATGACGTTTTCAAAATACCGAAAATGTCGAAAATTTCGAAAATTTGACTTTCCCTCCCCCGTTATCCTATGTGCTGCCCATAGATTTTCCTCAATTTTTGTTTATTCAATAAAAAATTTCTATTACATTATTTCGGGCTGAAATTAATTCTCTTAGTATATTTTTCGACGCTCTATCGAATGGCACTCGCAAAATCCCTCAGTAATTGCAAATTTCATAATAATGAGTGCCCCCCCGTTATTTTATTCCCCCCCGTTATCCTATGTGTACCAAAGTTTTTACAGACCTAGGTAAATCATTTGAAAATTAAACCGGGGTTAAAACTCCGCTTCGCGACTTTTTTTAAAACTGATGTTACATTTTTAAAACGACTAATTTTGGAAAATCTGGTAAGCGCGCAGTGATCCCAGAGCCGTTACACACCCAATGACGTATCATACGTACCTTAAAATTCCTTCCCTATCGAGATATCGACAGACAGACGGAAGCTGCATGTAAAGTGGCACACACACAAACACGATTTTTATGTATAGTAAAATAGCGGGCATATTTAAATAGGGAATATCGAGATCGAAAACGGTCCTGTTTCCTTAGCGGGGGGGGTTATCTGTGGCGGTGGAAGCATTTTTTGTCAACGGCTTCTCTTATCTTAAATCTCTTAAAATCTTAAATCTTAAATCTCTTATCATTACATTATTTTGAGCTGTATTTAAAACGCTATATTTATTTTCTTAGTAATCTATTTGTATATTTTTTGATGCTCTATCCAATATTATTACCCGAATTTCGAAAAGTATCGAAAAATAGCTTACCAACCCCATTGCCAGGGTTACTTTTGCTCTTCTTATAACCTATTAAGTTACTGTATTTTGATCTGGAATTAAATCCTTACTATTTTTTTTGATGTTCTACCGGGTCGCGATTGTAGCCCCAGAAAATAATGAAATATTAAAAAATCTACGACATTAAACTTTCCCCCGGAAAACTTCATGCTTATGTCGAAATTAAGATAAGCCAATGCCCGGAAAAGCCCCGAATCCGATGAAAAAAATGCCTATACTCTGAATTTCGAGATTATCATAGCGAATCTGGTCCTGTTGTTGTCGAAACCCTAGAACAAATACTATAAAAAGATTACCTGATGAAAAGGGCGAGCGTCAACAGCCACGACTCGGATTTAGGCATGGCGAGCGGGCAGGGCACGGTTTTGGCGGTAAAAATATTAGAGATCCCGCGCAAAAATTGGGCAAAATCTTCCGTGCGGCTAGCAGAGATTCGTAGATTCCTTTGGGCGGCATATTTATACGCATAGATCCGCCGGTTTGCCCAAAGAAAGGGCGGCAGCCACACTTAAGGTACCCTCAAGGGGGGGCACGATTTCGGCTACGCGACAATACAATGGACAACAATCATACAAGGGGGGTGGGCTTTTTTACGGATCGCCCGAGAGAACACTCGAAAAGCCATGTCAGATAGATGGTCAAATGGGGTGTTCGAGCATGGGCAAAAAAGGATTGGATGAATTTGGTGGTCAATGAACTCCAAAAAAACCGTTTCCTCAAACAATCTCTGCTAGCCTGCCCTCCTCTCGGGGTCCGTCCATTTCCTCAAACAATCTCTGCTAGCCTGCCCTCCTCTCGGGGTCCGTCCATTTCCTCAAACAATCTCTGCTAGCCTGCCCTCCTCTCGGGGTCCGTCCATTTCCTCAAACAATCTCTGCTAGCCTGCCCTCCTCTCGGGGTCCGTCCATTTCCTCAAACAATCTCTGCTAGCCTGCCCTCGTCTCGGGGTCCGTCCATTTCCTCAAAGAAACTCTGCTAGCCTGCCCTTCTCCCGGGGACCGTCCATTTCCTCCTCCAATCTCTGCTAGCCTGCCCTCCTCTCGATGGTCCGTCCATTTCCTCAAACAATCTCTGCTAGCCTGCCCTCGTCTCGGGGTCCGTCCATTTCCTCAAAGAAACTCTGCTAGCCTGCCCTTCTCCCGGGGTCCGTCCATTTCCTCCTCCAATCTCTGCTAGCCTGCCCTCCTCTCGGGGGTCCGTCCATTTCGTCAAACAATCTCTGCTAGCCTGCCCTCTTCTGTTCCATACCACTCCAATGGCCAATCTGGCTGTCAGTGTGGATGGGTAGATGAGCCGTGAAATGTGACACCCTCGAAGGGGTCCCACTCGAATGGGCGGAAATGCAAATACTCTCCTTTTTCGTGCCTTCATGTCCAAAAAATGAGGATGAGCCCCAGCAGGATCATTCCACCACACCGAAAAAAGGATTTGCTATCATAACGTCGTAATCCAGAATGTCAAAAATTTTATTATGTCGAAATTTTTGCCCAGGATTTTAGGTTTTTGCTGGGGAATTTGATTATGTAAATTTCCGCATGATCTTTCGCATTATCGGGGGGGAATTTTGTTTACGGGCCAATTTACAATTGTTTCAAATCCGTTTTTTGACTATTCCTGAACGTCAAAACTGTACAAATTGTTGATAAAAAATACAAAAATATAGATTTATGGGCCAAAAGGGCGTTTTTTACCAAAATTTCGATTTTTTGGAAATTGGCTCAAGGTTTTTGGATAGTTTTTGAGCGGAAATAAAGTTTTGTTTGTTTTTTGTATCATTTAAATGCTCCATGTAGAAGTTACTTACTTTTTCAAAAATGTCCAAAATTCTTGACGGCCCACTGGTCGTCAAAAATCTTACAAAACGTGCTATTTCTTCACGCCCAGCATATTTAAGCATTCTGGCAAGGTAACCATGGTCCGATTCGTTTCCCCCAGCGAGACATTTCAGTGCAAACTAGGGTTGGGTTTTGGCGCAACCGGTTTCCGATCGATCGCTTTGCATATCCTAAACGATTAAATCGTTGGACGAAAACCGGTTTCCTGCTTCAAACCGATTTAAATCGGTTCACGAGGCAAAACCGGTTTTTGTCAGGCTCGGAAATCGGTTCGGGGTAAAAAAACCGGTTTTTCACGATTCGGTCCCGGAAGTGAAACCGGTCTTTATGCAAATCCCCAGCACACTTATTATTCAAATTGCGGTAATGTAAAGCCTCAAATTTCATAAATTTTTGGGAATCGGGTTCTGTCTTAGCTTGTTAGCAATGTATGGTCTCAGAGACAAACGATTAGAACGTCATATTAAACGCTGATGCGTGCCTGGAGCGCTTCAAAATGATCGAGTACAATCTATGGCTATCAGTAACAGTCGGGTCCGCGCGTGAAAGCGGGAAAATACCTTGCCTATCTAGAACTGTGACCGAAAAGACAATCGTAAACGACTGGTAAAGCCCGAACAATGAAGTAGCAATCACGATGTGTGAGTTGATTAGAATTAATATTATTTGCATAAAGACCGGTTTCACTTCCGGGACCGAATCGTGAAAAACCGGTTTTTTTACCCCGAACCGATTTCCGAGCCTGACAAAAACCGGTTTTGCCTCGTGAACCGATTTAAATCGGTTTGAAGCAGGAAACCGGTTTTCGTCCAACGATTTAATCGTTTAGGATATGCAAAGCGATCGATCGGAAACCGGTTGCGCCAAAACCCAACCCTAGTGCAAACCACGCTCTTGTTTTCTGCTCACCCTGTATAGCGCAAGAATCTGAATTTTCGTTGTGTTTCGTCGTCTACATTTTGAAAGTAACCTTGCAGGGGGATTTTTGAGAAATTGCGCATTCAAAAAAACTTATGGCACCTGCTGCAAAAACGAAACGTATTGTTTTATGGAAAAAAGTAATTTTTTGAGTTTTCGATTCCGATTTTCTCCGAAATATCCAGGGGGGGGCGAGATTTATATAAAAAATATATAAATAAGTTACAAGTCAATAAATTCCATTAATTCTATGATAAATAAGTAAGACTTTATTTTACCCCCCTCCCATAACCGAAAGGTCTCAAAGTTTTCGGTATTTTCGCTTGTTTTGTCGGGATTTTTGCAACAACATTCGATAGAGCGTCGAAAAATATACTAACAGTTTTAATTTAAGCCTACAATAATGTAAAATAAAAAAGTTATAGCCAAAAAACTTCCGGCTGGGGGGGGATGGTAAGTTAAAGTGTTGCCAATAAATGTAATTTAAAAATTTCGGTAAACTTTTTGTTTGTTTAACTTTTTTGGAACTAAACTAAATTTCAACTCGGTTACAGGTTGGTATCTATAATGTTTTCTGGCCGAAATGCCCTCATCACCGTCGGTTCGGAGAATATCAGGCGGCGCCGGAGTCAGGTATTTTTGAAAATGAAAAATTGGCATGGATTTTACCATTTAGTTTCATTCGTGTTTTAATTTTTTACGCTTTTGGGATTTAAAAATGGTGAAAAGATGGCCATGAATCCTTAGGAAGGCAATTGAGCATGGTGGCGTAATCTGGCTCTCACTCTCTCTCTCTCTCTCTTTCTCTCTCTCTCTCTCTCTCTCTCTCTCGCTCTCCCGCTCAATAATTCAGGATGATTTATACTAGATAAGGAGACGCAGTCTGAAAAAAGGCATCTTTTGAGGCGAATTTGCCATCGCCATGCTATATTGCAGCCGTGAATTATGGGGATTTTCCTCGAAATTGGCCAAGGCTTCTCTTAATACGCCTCCATTTACTCCAGGAATGACCTCCTCTCGGGGTCCATCCATTTCCTCCTCCAATCTCTGCTAGCCTGCCCTCCTCTCGGGGTCCGTCCATTTCCTCCTCCAATCTCTGCTAGCCTGCCCTCCTCTCGGGGTTCGTCCATTTCCTCAAACAATCTCTGCTAGCCTGCCCTCCTCTCGGGGTCCATCCATTTCCTCAAACAATCTCTGCTAGCCTGCCCTCCTCTCGGGGTCCGTCCATTTCCTCCTCCAATCTCTGCTAGCCTGCCCTCCTCTCGGGGTCCGTCCATTTCCTCCTCCAATCTCTGCAAGCCTGCCCTCCTCTCGGGGTCCATCCATTTCCTCAAACAATCTCTGCTAGCCTGCCCTCCTCTCGGGGTCCGTCCATTTCCTCAAACAATCTCTGCTAGCCTGCCCTCCTCTCGGGGTCCGTCCATTTCCTCCTCCAATCTCTGCTAGCCTGCCCTCCTCTCGGGGTTCGTCCATTTCCTCAAACAATCTCTGCTAGCCTGCCCTCCTCTCGGGGTCCGTCCATTTCCTCCTCCAATCTCTGCTAGCCTGCCCTCCTCTCGGGGTCCATCCATTTCCTCAAACAATCTCTGCTAGCCTGCCCTCCTCTCGGGGTCCGTCCATTTCCTCCTCCAATCTCTGCTAGCCTGCCCTCCTCTCGGGGTCCATCCATTTCCTCAAACAATCTCTGCTAGCCTGCCCTCCTCTCGGGGTCCGTCCATTTCCTCCTCAATCTCTGCTAGCCTGCCCTCCTCTCGGGGTCCGTCCATTTCCTCCTCCAATCTCTGCAAGCCTGCCCTCCTCTCGGGGTCCGTCCATTTCCTCCTCCAATCTCTGCTAGCCTGCCCTCCTCTCGGGGTCCGTCCATTTCCTCAAACAATCTCTGCTAGCCTGCCCTCCTCTCGGGGTCCATCCATTTCCTCAAACAATCTCTGCTAGCCTGCCCTCCTCTCGGGGTCCGTCCATTTCCTCCTCCAATCTCTGCTAGCCTGCCCTCCTCTCGGGGTCCGTCCATTTCCTCCTCCAATCTCTGCAAGCCTGCCCTCCTCTCGGGGTCCATCCATTTCCTCCTCCAATCTCTGCTAGCCTGCCCTCCTCTCGGGGTTCGTCCATTTCCTCAAACAATCTCTGCTAGCCTGCCCTCCTCTCGGGGTCCGTCCATTTCCTCCTCCAATCTCTGCTAGCCTGCCCTCCTCTCGGGTTCGTCCATTTCCTCAAACAATCTCTGCTAGCCTGCCCTCCTCTCGGGGTCCGTCCATTTCCTCCTCCAATCTCTGCTAGCCTGCCCTCCTCTCGGGGTCCATCCATTTCCTCAAACAATCTCTGCTAGCCTGCCCTCCTCTCGGGGTCCGTCCATTTCCTCCTCCAATCTCTGCTAGCCTGCCCTCCTCTCGGGGTCCGTCCATTTCCTCCTCCAATCTCTGCTAGCCTGCCCTCCTCTCGGGGTTCGTCCATTTCCTCAAACAATCTCTGCTAGCCTGCCCTCCTCTCGGGGTCCGTCCATTTCCTCCTCCAATCTCTGCTAGCCTGCCCTCCTCTCGGGGTCCGTCCATTTCCTCCTCCAATCTCTGCTAGCCTGCCCTCCTCTCGGGGT